TTCTTCTCTGAAGGTGTTGTCATGCACTGGCACCGGCCGCCCATGGAATTGCTGGAATTGTCATTGCTTGAGGCGCTTCAGCAATGTCTGGAGGTGGCACACGCGGACATGGTTTCCAGGTGGACTTATCAGAGTCATGCTTGTGCCCTCTGACTTGATAGCAGGACCAATGTGGAGTGGGACGTGGGACACAGCCCAGATGCTGGCAATTGTGAGCTTGCTCAGCCATACAGATGAGCCTTCCACCTTGGCTAGCACCAGTGCTGGCAGCTCAGCCACTGGCAACATGCCACCTTACCCTACTGCAGAACCCTTGCAGAGTCAAGCTGGGACAGGGGAGGGGGGTGGGCGGCTCTCCCAGCTCCTGAGCACAAGGTGAGAAAAGAGAAACGCTGTTACCCATCAATCCCTTCAACTGGCACATCGTAACAGGGGAAAGAGAGGGGCAAAGGCACAATTTTGAGTGCCATCTAGGCAGCACTGGCAGTAGACCACTCCAATCCAGGTGTACAATATGGCAAATGCCACAGGTTTTCCCGTGGAGGAAAAAGCTCCAAACAAAACACAACCAAGGCCCCAAACCCAAACAGTAACGTTTGAATTTTCTGTGATTGATGGCTGAGAGAAGCAGCTGTTCAGTGCTGATTGTGCCTTCTCTGCACACTTATCATCTATACTTCTCTCAGGGGTCTCCAAAGCCAGGAGATCATTTCTTCCTGCTCCAGCCTGTGCTGAGACCAAAGAGCCTTGGAGTGGCCAGGGCTGGTAGCAGGAGAGCTGCTGAAAATCACTGCCAGCCGCGCAGCCTTCCCCTCCAAGGCTGCAGAGACACAAGGGCAGAAAGCTGTGGCCAAAGCTGCATGGCTGCCCAGATCGATCCCTTCTTCACAGGGTGGCCTTGCAGGATAGCAAAATCCACATGGACATCTGGGGTCATTCCAGCACTGACTTTCACTCCAAACCTTCCAATTTGCTACAAGGAAAAATCTGAATTTCCCTTTGGCTTGGAAGGGGATGGATTCCCTTGGCTGATGGATTTGGCACGAAGGCTCTCCCCACATGGAAACCTTCTAGGCAACGTGAAGCCTTTCTGCCCATCGAGAAGCCATTTTGTCCCACTGGATCGTGGGAAGTGCAGTGCAAATGCACCACCCTTCTCTCCTCTGCCAGGAGCTGCTTTCACAGCCCAACGGCCTGGCACCATGCAGATGAAGGCAGGTTGTAGCTAAGTGTGGGCCATTCTATCAGCCCAGGGAACAATCAATATGAGCAGAGGAAATGACCTCAAGTTGTGCCACAGGAGCTTTAGCTTGGATCTCTAGGAAATATTCCTTCAACAAAAAGGATGTCAAGCTTGGGAACAGGCCGCCTGGGGAAACGGCTGGGTCACCTCCCTCAGAAAGCTTTAAAAGTGGCGTGGCTGTGGCATTTGGGGACCTGGCTGATTGGAGCAGTAGGCAGTGTTAAGCGTGCAGTTGCACTGTGTGATCGTGTGCGACTTTTTCAACCACACTGAGTTCCAGATTTAAGTGTAGCTCAACCAGTGAGGAGTCAAAGGTTAGACTCAGTGATCCTCAAGGTTGCCTTGCAACAGGGATATCAGTGAGATTGCCAAGGAAGAGCAGATGAAAATAATCGCAAAAGAGACAACAATGGGAGTCCTTTGGAAAAGCTTCAGTCAAGGGCAGCCTTAAGCAGAACACCTGGGCCGCTCTGAGTGCCTGAGCCAGGAGATGGCTGAGGGGAAAAAGGGGAAAAGCCAGGAGTTGGCTGAGGGTTGGCTGGGTTGTGACGTGCTCTGACGCGTGACATCACAGGGGACGTGTCACAATAGGGGCAGCTAAAAAAGGCCCCAGCAGGTCACGCTGGCCCTGCGTTGCCTTGGCAAGCGGTGAGTGCACACGTGGCGGGGAGGCTGGGCTGGGAACAAGGGCTGGGGCAGAAATGCTACACCTGGGGCTGGGTTCTCCCTCTGCATGCAGGGACAGCCCCTCACGGGAGATCCTTGGGCAGGCCACAGGGCTGGAGCTGGAGCTGCTGGGGCAGTGAGACAGGCCTTGCTGCCTGCATGCTGTCTGTGTGGGGCCCTGTCCTTCCTGCTCCCAGATCCCTGAGGATCCTGTCCTCCCTCCAGCAGCCAGTAGTTCTCTCCATCCCCGCCCCACTCACGGCCGTCTCTCCCTCCTCCTGCAGACCATGGATCCCATGGTATTCCTTTTTGTGATATTGAAAAGCCTCGTCCAGTACCCACAGCCTGTGGCTGAGTGTTTGGATGAGGAAACACGTCTGCGCATGGAAGCGCGTGCAAAGCACCTGGAATGGGAGAGGATTCATCTGGAGCAGGAGGTGGAACAGCTCGCCCAGGAGCAGGTGAAGCAGGTGCAGCTCTTGCAGCTCTTAGCTGTTGCTGTGCTGCTGGTCCTTGTCTTGCTCCTGTGGTTTATTGGGTGGAAAAGCAGCCAGAGGAGAGAGGAGGATGAAGAAGGAAACCGTGGTGCCAATGAAGGGGAAGTGGGCAATGTTGCGGCAAACGAAGGAGACAATGTTGGAAATGAAGATGTCAATGAGGCTGCAATTGCAGAAAACATCAATGATGTTGCAAATGAAGTCCTAGAAGATGATTTTGACGATCACGTTGGACGTGTTATAATGGAGCGCATCCAGTGGCCTGTACAAGACCTGCAGAGAGGCTGTGAGTGGACTACTGACCTCATGGATCAGTGTAGCCTTTACTTTCAACGGGTCTTGTCAAACAGCTTTTACCCAGTGCTGCAACGAGCCATCGGGGTGGGCAGTGCCTTTGAAGGCTGGAATCCCCGTGAGCAGGATGTCGTGTACCGCCTGCTCATCCCCATGACTCCTCCCCGAGGCCACAGCTTCCACCTGGAGCTGGACAGTGCAGGCCAGAGGCACGTGAGGAACTTCCGTGTCCGCGTGCAGCTGGAGTGCACCTGCACGAGGGAGCAGCAGGCTGAGGACATGCTGTGCTTCCTGCACCACCCCGAGGAGGAGCTGAGGAGGAATCAGGATCCCAGCCTCCTAGACACCCTGTGCACCGGCTCCTACCTCAACGTGCAGAAAACTGCCCGCTGGTTTCACCAGCTGGTGAGAGCAGTCTGGCCGGCTTTGCCTCAGTCGCACAACTGGCATTTAGTGCTGCTGCCCTCCACACGCTCCTGCCAATTCAAGGTGACCAATGGCAGGGAAAGCTTCAGGATTGAGCTGTTCTTCGGGGTGCGGAGAGATGACTCAGCCATCTTTGTGTGCAGCCAGCCTAGAGAGGCCCATACAGCAAGCACAACCTGGCCCGAGTCTTACGCTGTGGCAGAGGTTGAGTTCTTCAAGCACATTGCCAGGCAGGCCCCCCCTGACAGCCTGCACCTCAAATGCCTGCAGTTCTTCACCCGTCTTCAGCTGGGCTTCAGCTTTTCCACCTACACCATGAAGACCATTGTCATGCACCTGCTCAATGTCACACCCGTCTCATCGTGGCGTAGGAGAGACCTCCTGGAACGACTGCAGGATATCATCAACAGCCTGCATTTTTGTGTGCGAGCAAAACGCCTCAACCACTTCATTGTGGGCAACCAGAGGTTTCCTCAGGACATCAATTTACCTGCCGATGTTCAAAGGGCTGAGCCATTAAATCTCCTCCATCACCTGGTGCAGCAGCCGGATGTCCATACCCAGGCGCTTCATGAGTACCACGTTCTAGAAAAGTGGTTCAAAAGAATCGTTCTCGCTGAGGATTAAGCGAAGGAAGGGGAGGAGTCATGGCTATGAGCACAGAGCTGTGCTTGTGCTGCTCACATAAGCCGCACTGCTGGTAGGAGAGTACCACCTTGCAGTCCTCATTTGGTGCTGATTAAGGAGGAGAGGATGCCTGCAAAGTCTCTGGTGAAGGTCCCACAGTATGTCCTGCCATGTCAGGAAGTGAAGGGCTACAGGAGGGATTTTTCTACCTCCTTGTATCATTTCATTTTCCAAAAAAAGAATGGCATTAACCCTCTGCTTACGTGTGAACTCTCCCACTTCTGAAAAAGCACATGGGTACAACACGTGCCGTACATGCCGGGCCAATGTCACGAAACCTGACCTGCAACATGGAGCTGTTTCTGGCCTCTGAAAAGGGGCAAACTTTCGAGGATGAAAGAAGTGGGAATGTGGGACCAAAATAAGAAAAAACAAACAGGTCAAAAACTACCAAGAGGAAAAATCCACACTGCTGGCCTGGGATGAGTCAATGGATGGAGCCTCTCCCTGTCCCCGGAAGGAACACCTTTGCTTCTGCATTGGAAAAACGCTGTTGGAGCTGACCTTAAATTTGCCATATATAACAATCTAGATGTTTACTTCATATATATATATATATGTATATATATATATAGTGTATAATTATTATATACTATAACTTTTATAATTTATATTTTCTAGTAAAATATCATAAAAGAAAACAATATACTAATATGGATAATATCAAAGATAGGAAATATTTAGTTATTATTTCATGATAAAAAGTAAATTTGAAGAGTTGAATATGTAATTACATTTAAATAGTAACAGTAGAACATCTATGTAGTGTCACTAGCTGTTGTGACACATTAGATTTCTTTGTACATTTAGGTCTGGAAGGTTTTTCATAAAAAAGGTATATTTATAACATGTATAACATGAATAGAATATATACATACTGTATACATTATATATTTATATAACTGTATAATATATACTATATACCCTATGCATATAATGTTATATATATATAATTTTTATATTCATGTCAAGCCATACCTAGTGCCACAATCTCTTGCAACCCAAATTCATGCTCTACAGTTAGTGCATTTATGAATGGAAAGCTGGAAACTGCTTTGCTCTGGTTTCAATAAAATGCAGTTTTGCAGAATCTGGAGTGTGCTAGACTTTATTGATCTCAGCCAGGCCTATACTACTGGTAAATGTCACACACTGTGAATCTGGGATCTGGAACGCTCTTTTTCTCTCTCTTTCCTTCTTGGTCTTTTTCTTTCTTTCTTTACTTCATCTCTCCTTCTTTAATTCCTCTCTTCCCTTTAACC